TTCTTTCCAAGCAGTCTTTGAGCTCAACACTCAAAACACCTTTAAAACCAAGTTCCAAATGGCCAAAGTCCAGGAAAACTTACCCACAGACTCAATGGGTCTGCTGCCAGCAAGGGAAGCTTACCTGGGCCAGGTCCATTGGTTAAGTTAGTGTGGAGTCCCATCTGGGGTGCCAAATTGTTGGAAGAAATGTCCTCCTGGGTTCAGTTCCAAGTGGGGAAAAAGACACTGGATTCATGGAAGTTGCTTGGAAAGAAGGTTTATGGATGGTGGACAAGACCACATGGTTTGCGGTTCTGGGGGGAAAGGGGGTCACATGCCTTGAAGATCTTGAAAAAAAGGGAAGAGATGATGAGAGAGACTGAGTTTTATTCCCTCTCTTGGGCCCTGCCTTAGAGTTTCCTGTTCCTATCCAAGAAATGTATCCCATTGGCTGTCATACTTCCAGGGGGTGGGGGTCTTAGCTAAATTTGTAGGCTGTCTGTGTCCCAGGCTTGGTTGTGCCAAGTGGTGAGTTCTGTTGCAAGATGGGTAGAGGGCTAATCCTACCTTTGTTGGATCTTGGATAAGGGTATTTGCCTATGAATCTCTTTATCTCTTAAGTGTGGACATCTGCTGTAGGCTATTGAGGAGAGTGGGGGCTATTAAGAATGAGTCTTCTTCCTGCCTAAAAAAATGTTTCTCCATTTCTCATCCAGGAAAAAATAATATTCTCCCTTTTTAATATTTCCTAGAATATCTCATTTTCCTAGGAAAGGGGTGGGGCTAACTTCCTACAGACTTTTGAATAATGGATTAGAACCTAATTTTCATCCCTGTATATGTATTTAAAAGGGCCCTGGCATCGGTGATTTGGGCCTCTTCCACAGTAGTTCCACTTGGAGTTGATAGTGAAATTATTGACAATATATTTTGTGAAGAGAAATAAAGTTTAATTATATTAATTTTGTGTTGAACTATATACTGAGAACTTGAAATGCAACTGTTTAAGACAGCAGAGCTGGCTGGAGAATTCTGGGAGTTGAAGTCCACAAGTCTTAAAGTTGCCAAGTTTGGGAACCACTGGTTTAAGATATCCAATATTTTGGATTTATTGAGCCTGCAACATACTCCAGAAGACAGTTGCGTTATTGAAAAGAAATTGTTACTCTGAACTTAAAATTCCAGATTGAAGATATGTTTTCAGTTTCAGCTTTTTAATTTTTATGTTTACCAATAAAATGAAAAAAACTGATTAATATAATTCTGTATAATTTCTGTTTAAGTATTATTTTAAAATTTCCATGTTATGCATCTATTTTTTTCCATTTGAGGTTATTAAAGAACAATTTATTACTATAAAGCAAACATGCATTGCATGTATTATTCAAAAAGCAGTCAATTATAATTCAAATGCAATCAATTTTTATTTCTGTGATTCTGGCAGACTGTTTCCATGCATATAGGTCAAAGACTGTTTTTAAGAAAAAAAAATATTCACACGGAAACACATAAATACACACAAATTATCTTAAACAAATGTGCCCAATGGACTTGTTTGCAAATAACTTCTTGCTGAAGCTAATCTTGTGAAAAATGAGGATAGAATTGCTAATATTTAAATCTGGAATGCCTATGAAAAGAACAAATTGATAATGTAGTATAATGAAGATCTGTTGTGTTAAGTTCTAATTCTATCAGCATTTCTCCCATTATATATCCTAAATCAAGTTTTACAATAGGTTGGGAACTCATGATTTTATTTTATTTTTGTCCATAGGGCAAAATTGTGCATATATGCAAATACTGATAATGTGATCTGACCGAACCATTTTTATAGCCATTTCATTTCTCTTTGGTGCTCATCAGCTAGAATGTAGTATAGCTGCAATGGAGGTGAATGCATATAATGTGTCCCAAAATTTTCCTACTCATCTTGCCCAGCCCCAGAACAGTAGGCTAGAATTTATTCCCAATATTAGAGCACTAGAATAGATTTAATTTTTATTCTCCTTTCAGCTCTCCTTTGTGTCTACTAGAAATAGTGGCTTTGTATTCGAAAGACTTTAAAATTAGTTGAAGGGAGAAGTAAAGCAATAACAATTTGACCGTAGATTGATCCAAAATAAAACATCCATTCAATAGAATGTAACAGTCTCATAGAATTGCTACTCAGAAGATAGCCGAAATTGCTTAGCAGAGTCTGGTACGATATCAAAAACATTCATTCTCCTTGGAGGATTCCTCCTCTCCCCCTCCATAATATCTCTTTAGGGAGTGTAGTACTGACTCCTTGCCAACTTCATTCCATTTGAAAACACTTATTGGAAATGCATAATGGATTCAAAATAAAGCATAACATATATTATTACTTGTGGAATTCTTTGTTCTACACTTCAACTTGAAAGTGTGTGCATTTAGCATGGGGCTCTGTAGGAGCTTGCAGCTTTTCTCAGAACGATAAAGCAACACCATAGGGTTGCACTGAAAACTCCACCCCTGTTGTACATGCATATGACATTGCAATTCTTAAAAGTTCGATTCTTTAAAAAGCCCATTTTAAATGATGCTTTGTCTTAAATCCAAATGTACGTAATAATGAAAAAATGTTTTTATCAGTGGGTGAAATATATGAAATAAATAGATGCATTTCTGTTAAGCATTACCTTTACCCTCACAAATTCTGTTGCAAAAAGTAGTTTTAGCTTTCCATAATTTTCCACGTTGCTCAATGCGCTAACAACACAACAAAATGAAAGGCAGTGTTGAAACATTCACAGTCTAAAAAGAATTATTTCATCTAGAAAATGGGAGAAAGTTCCTAAAAGTTGAAAAGTGTATATACCGTGGCCTCTTTGAATTTCAGACAATTGTCCTGCTTCCACCCCAATCATTTATTATATTCCATAGTGTTAAACAAATGATTCATTTATGTTCTTTTTCAACTTGCCAGTCATGTTGCATTCTCCACACAAAGCAGTCACCAGAACTCCGAAATAAAATTGGGGGGGGGGGGATGTTGTGTTATGTCCATTCTATTTTACTTTCTTTTTTCCTTTCTCCAATTCCAAGAGCTAGCATCCACCTGTGTCCATGAAGACATTTCCATGCCTTCATTATAAATTACAGTCATTCCTATGTCTTGACATTACCGTCAATCACTGTTTGCCGTCTTTTCAGGGGAAGTAGCTTGTAGGTAAGAACTCTTGGCCACTTATATTATGTACAATCACATACAGAGTTAAAGTCAGAGATCTCCAGCACCACCGAAATATTTAGGCATGGTTTGCAATGCCTGCCGGTCTGCAAAAGAAACTTTATTTCAGGTTGTTAATAACCATGCTGTCATGCTTCTCAGAATAATTGATCATTTTCTTCCTCTTTCCAAATGTGGAGAAGCTGTTTTTAGCCTCCTGCTCCAGAAATACAGAGCTGTCCTTATTGGTAGATGTTGTTGGGGTTCCTGGAATATATACATTGTGTTGATAATCCAGAGGAGAAATATGTTGCAAATAGAGGGGTGCATATGGAGGGGTCCGGATGCTGTTAGGGGGACCAGATGTCTTCTTATGTTCTGTGGAAAAAAAAATTAATGATAGAGGGAAGCCCCTGGATAAAACACAGTACATCAAACACTGCCCATTTTGCAGAAGATGCCGGGCAAATGCTTCATTTTTCTAAATTATATTTCAATTTGAAGTAAGATATCCAAAACTAAGAAAATGCATCTGTACATGGCAGAATAAAGATATTTCTCACTTATTCACTAACTTTGAAGTTACAATGATGTAAAAAAAAACCTTTGTGGTCAATCCTTGCATTTATGACCGTCTCAGTGTCCCATGGTCACGTAATAGCCATCAGAGATGGGTTCCTACCAGTTCGCACCTATTTGGTAGAACCAGTTCGTCAAATCTACCGAACCGGTTAGAAGAGGTTCCATCAATGGACCTGGAAAGCAGGCCACACCTACAGAAGAGGTTCCAAAAATTTTTGAAACCCACCACTGATAGCCATTCACACGCTTTGCAACCAGTTTGCGACAAGAAACGTTAATAGAGACTATGGAAGTAAAATTCTAAATTGTAAACATGTGATGTCTCAGTTCATGACTATAGTACTCTACTTAACAACCAAATGAGAAAGACTGTAAGGTCATAAACCCATTGCAGTCATATGATTTTCTGCTTAGAAACTGTAGCACTTAGTAACTGATTTGCCAGTCACAGTTGTGGTCACTAAACGAGGAAACTATCTGTATACAGGTAGTCCTCAAAATACAGCCATAATGGAGCCTGCCCATTGCAGTCGCATGTTACAGCAATCATTAGGTGAAATGTGTTCAGGAGGCACCCCAAAATGGAGTAGTTTGTCTGGTGACTTGCCATTTTGTCTCCACCCACAAATGGCAGCCACTTTTGGGTTGCCGCTATATAGCCCCAAGACAAACTGCTTCATTTTGCTGCCTTGCCAAAATCTGTACAACACTACAAAAGCTTTCTGCAGCACTGTTCAGACCCTGTGCAGCAAAATGAAGCAATTTCTCTGGTGGCCACAATTTTGTCCCATTTACAAAGAAGTGGGACAAAATGGCAACTGCATTTGGATTGCTGCTGCTTGGCCTGGGGATACATGGGCAGCACTCATTCTACAATACGAGGTCTGGAGAGCTTCAGAAGAGCATGTGGGAAAGAGGCCCAAACACTGTGGGATGGGGGAGAGAGAGGTAGGAGGGCACTTCAGTGACTCTGTGGTGAGTCATAAGAGCAAATGACCGAACACCCACAGCAGCCATCATAACTTTGAAATGGGGTCATATATAGCTTTTGGGGGGCGGGGTCTGTCATAATTTCAAACATTTGCTAAATGGGGTGTTGTACCTTAAGGATTACCTGTATGTGTAAAATTATATTTCCCAATACATATATGGGTAAACACATAGAGGAGACCTCCCAATCCACTCCATGGGCAAAACCCAATACTCCAGTAATATATCATTTTTTTTAGAATGGTTCATCCTAAGAAGTTCAACATATCAGTAAGTGGTTCAGGAGCTTCAATTTTACTGGCAGGAAGATTACCATATATTTATTTACTTACTTACTTCTGTCATTGATTTATCTGTCTTTCTCCTATAACATTATGTAACATAGAAAAAAATGGTGCTCAACCACTGCCATGAAGCAAGCTCTCCTTTTAGCATTATTCTAAATCAGGATATCAGAGCCGAGGTGGCGCAGTGGGTAGAGTGCAGTACTGCAGGCCACCTCAGCTGACTGCTAGTTCAGCAGTTCAGCGGTTCAAATCTCACCGGCTCAGGGTTGACTCAGCCTTCCATCCTTCCAAGGTGGGTAAAATGAGGACCCAGATTGTGGGGGCGATATGCTGACTCTGTAAACCGCTGAAAGCCCTATGAAGCGATATATAAGTCTAACTGCTATTGCTATTGCTATTGCTATTCT